GATCTAATCGCTAAACCACAATTTCATAGCCTTTCAATATTTTCGGAAAACCTAGTTGCGGTTCAGTTGCGAAAAACGAAGTTAATATATAACAAACCAATTTATTTAGGGTTTTGCATTTTAGATATTTCAAAAACATTAATGTATGATTTTCATTATAACTATATGATTAAAAAGTTTAGTAAAATCAAATTATTGTATACAGATACGGATAGTTTAATATATCATATATTTACAAATGATTTTTACACTGATATAAAACCTGACCTTTCATCATACTTTGATACCTAAGATTATGATACAAATAATCATGAAAGAATTTGTGGGTTTACGATCCAAAATGTACGCTTTTAACTTAGAGAATAAGACTATAGCCAAGGCAAAAGGGGTAAATAAATGTATCACTAAAAAGATGACAATGAATAGTTATAAGTCTTCTCTATTTAATAAAAAAGTGCAATATTATAGCATGCTTAGATTTAAATCAATTAAACACACAATTTTCACACAAAAATTAAATAAGATAGGTTTATCATATAATGACACAAAGAGACATATTTTAGATAATAATATTGAAACATTAGCTTGGGGTCATTATAAACTGCGTTAAGTGTTGATAGTTTTTACTTTTATGTCTGCGTTTAAGAAAAATTTATATTGATTGTAAAATTATGATAATACTATAATATGACGTAGTTTATTACATATTTAAACATTGTTTTATTGTAAATAATTTAAGTTAATTGTTGTTTCTATTTATTTGAGGTTGAGTTAATTGTAAAATTATGATGTACTAATTGTGTTAGAAATAGTATACAGATAATTCTGTTTTATATAATTTTTGGAATATATATTAATTGTTTACACCAACACTTTCATTTTTTATTTCACCCCTTTGAACTTTAGACGTGTGTTATGTTTCACTTTATCCATCCGTTCACTGCTATTGTGGCAGGACCAAGTGGGTGTGGGAAGTCAAATTTTGTAACAAATTTCATAAAATCAGTTACAGAAATATGTAATTGTGATTTTAATCAGATCACATGGTGCTTTGATGAAATGCAACCATTATATAATTTACCAAATGTTAACTATCATCAAGGAATTCCAAATCTTAATATGTTTGATGGTGAAAACCCACATCTTGTTATTATTGATGATCTAATGAGAGAGTCCGATGGAAGAATTGTGGATATATTTACAAAAGGTAGTCATCACAGGAATCTTAGTGTATTTTATCTAACACAAAATTTATTTCATCAGGGTAAAGGACAAAGAGATATATCTTTAAACTCAAGTTATATAATATATTTTAAAAACCCTCGAGATAAAACTCAAATAAGATATTTAGCAAGACAAGTATCACCAGATAACCCAAAATTCATTGAAAATGCCTACAGGGATGCAACTCTAGAGGCGCATGGATATTTAATGGTAGATTTAAAACAGAATACCAATGATTTTTGTCGTATCAAGACAAATGTCTTTCCATTTAATGGTTTCTGTACAGTCTACGTCCCCACAAAAGAGTTTAAATACACCAAGAATCAAACAATTGAAATCATTGCTAAATGATGCATCGTCGACTCACAACGTATAAACATTTGCTAACCGCTTTGCATACGCTTAAACCAAAATATCAAAGAGCATTACTTAAAACGTGTGATGAAGAAGAAATTAACTGTATTTGTGAGTGTATTCATAACGTTTTACAAGGAAAAGTACCTCTTAAAGATCAGGATAAACAAAAATTGAATAAACATAAAAACATACTCCGTAAACTAGTACGTAAGTGTAAACATAAACTAAGAAAAAATATAATTATACAAAAAGGAGGGGCTTTCTTACCAACAATATTAGGTGCAATATTGAGTGGATTAGTGAGTGGACTAGCCAGTTAACATGGAAAATGCAAAGAAAATGATACTTATCGAACCTGGATTGATTGAAAAATTAAAACAAGAAAATAAGTTTAATAGTAATTTATCTCGATTAGATATTGAAATGCAAAATATTATGAATAGTAAGACGGAAGACCGAAAGAAATGGATATTATATTTACAAACACTGCAAAGATACCTTCATTTTACCGAAGAGGATCGTCAACCACTCAAATTACCAATTTATTCTGATACATCTAATGAAGATTCAAATGAGTCAAAAATTGGTTTTAAAAATAAAGATAGAGATCTAAAAACTTCAGTTGATATTGAATCTTTGCTGGAGGAGAATCGATCCATTAAAAGTAAAGAAAATGATGAAAATCCACTTTACACACCAGCTCAAATACTCAGTTTAATACCAAAAACTTATCATAAAAAAGGGCAGTTATTATTAAACTTAGTTGAAACAAGTAAAAGTAAAATACATTGGGATAACGAAGGTACAGTCATAATTGATAGTGAAAAAATTCCTGGAAGTAATATTGTTGATTTAATAAATGATTCACTAAGACCCCTAAAAAGAAGTGATCCGGTAGGGTGGGTTAGATTTGCTGAAGCATTAAAAGATATTAAAGTACCACTTACTTATATTGGAAATCCAAGGAGATGTGAGTTTATTAACCAACTTCAAGCAAAAGATCTGAACAAACCCTCTGAGATTGAAGTTCAAGAGTTTTCTACACCGTGCAGTAGAGATAAAAAGTCTACAACTAAAATACGTAAAGGACTTGAGTGGGAAAAATGGACTCCGTACTAGAAGAAATTAACAGGATTTATTATGATCCATCTAATCCCGCTGGTTTTGGTAGTATTGATAAATTATCAAAAGCCATGAAGGGTAAAATGAATAAAAAGCAAGTAAAGGAATGGTTAAAATCACAAGAAACATACACATTACATAAACCCATTCGAAAAAAATTCCCGCGTAATAGGTACATTCTATCAAATATTAATGAACTGTGGCAAGCTGATTTAAGTGATATGCGAACTTATTCTCAATATAATGATGGTTTCAAGTATATACTTTGTATTATTGATGTATTTAGTAAATATGCTTTTGCAAGACCAATGAAAAAGAAAAACTCAGAAACAACTAAAGAATGTTTTGAAAGTATATTTACTGAAAGTAATTTAACACCTACTCACATACAATCCGATAAAGGTACAGAATTTGTTTCAAAAGATGTACAAAAATACTTTAAATCCAAAAAGATTAATTACTATACCACTAACAATCCTGACATTAAGGCCAGTATTGTTGAACGATTTCAAAGAACACTAAAAATGAAAATGTGGCGTTATTTCACTCATAATAATACTTATAGATATATAGATGTTTTACAAGATTTAATATACTCTTATAATCACAGCTTTCACTCTAGTATTAAGATGTGCCCATGTGATGTAAATTCCAACAATATTATGACAGTTTGGACTAATCTTTATGATAGACGGTCAAAAAAACTTTCTTTAGAAAATCCTAAACCAAATTTCAATGTGGGTGATTATGTTCGAATAACTAAATATAAACATGTATTCCAAAAAGGATATGAATCAAATTGGAGTGATGAAATATTTATTATATCTTCAATAATTGATAGATCTCCATGGGTTGTTTATACAATAACAGATTTACAAAATGAACCAATAATTGGTACTTTTTATGAAAGAGAATTACAGAAAATCACTTACAACCCCACCTCACAACATAAAATAGATAAAATAATTGACACTCGTTATTCAAGTAACAGAAAAGAAGTATTAGTGAAGTGGAAAGGTTATCCAGATAAATTTAACAGTTGGATTTTAGCTTCTAGTTTAAAAGAAATATGAATAAAGAAAGTTTCTATTTAACTTTGCTCAGCAATAGTTCAATGGAATACTTTCCTGATAACAAGACCACAAATTTTTCAACGAAATTACCAAAAGCTATAAAATTAGAAGGTGAATGGTCGGTTGGAGTTGTCGAGTTTCAATATCCATGTACCATGTTTACTGTTCAAGACCATGAAAATGTTATATACATTACAAAATCTATGTTAATGCCTAATGAAGATAAGCCATCCACAGTGTACTACAAAAAACATATTCCAGCTACCAACTATGATAACGTTGAGCATATTTTAAGAGTGTTAAATGGTATCGGAGAGAACTTGAAATTTCGCTATGATGAAATAACAAAATTTGTGTCTATTTCGGTATTGGATAAAAATATAACATCCGTAACATTATCACCCAAATTAAGTTTACAGCTAGGTTATGAACCAAATAAAAATCTCCTAGAGAGAAATTTTGGAAAGTGTCCTGCTAATTTACACTTAGGGTTACCATCTCAACTATTTCTATATTGCGACATTATCGATCCTCAGATTGTGGGTGATGTTATGACTCCTTTATTAAGAGTCATTTCATTAGATCCTACAAAATACATTTATGGTGCAAATAAAATGCACGTTTTCTCTCAACCTCACTACTTACCTGTTATGCGAAGAGAGTTCGATACGTTGGAAATAGTTATAAGATCGAGTACAGGACAAAAAATACCATTCCAGTTTGGAACCGTGTGTATTAAACTACATTTCCGAAAATTATAATAATGAATTCTCTTCGTGATCATCATAAATGTCCATATGAAAATTATTATACACATCAAGCTGGATCAGGAGTTGGAGTAATTTATAAGGGTTCACCATATCAACGCGGTCATGGTATTAAGAGCTTCTTAGGGGGGTTATTCAGATCCGTTTTACCTTTACTTTCAAGTGGTGCTCGAGTGATTGGTAAGGAGGCATTAAGCGCTGGAGTAGGACTTTTATCGGATATGGTTCAAGCCCGTCCTATGGAAGCCTCAATAAAAGATCGTCTAAAGCAAGTTAGTACGAATTTAAAACGAAAGGCTGATGAGAAAATTGATCAATTTAACATGACTGGATCTGGGTATAAAACTAAAAGAAAACGATTGACATCGTTCATTCCACCATTAACTGCTAAAGTGAAAGCTGCGAAAAAACTTAGTCTAAAACCAAAAAATATCAAAGATATATTTTCAAACTAAATATGTCTTTCCTTCATAATCATTCTTGCGAGTGCGTTAAGTCAGAATTGGATTTGTTTGCACTACCGTCTACACAAACTAGCATTGAAAATGGATTGTGGATTCATTATAAACCCATTTCATCTCTTGGTGATGATGGACCTATCGAGTTTCAAGTTCCTGGGACCGGCGATGACTACATAGATTTGTCTCATACATTACTCCACATAAAGGCAAAAGTATTAAATCAAGATTCAACTAACTTGGTATCTACTACAATAGTAGCACCTGTAAATAATTGGCTGCATTCACTTTTTAGTCAACTTGATGTTTATTTAAACCAAAAACTTGTATCACCACCTAATAATACCTATGCATATCGAGCATACATGGAAACCCTTTTAAACTATGCCCCTGCTGCTAAACAATCTCATCTTACTTGTAGTCTTTGGTATGAGGATACAGCAGGAAAAATGGATTCTACAGATGGTAAAAACATAGGATTTGTTAAAAGACAGGAATTGATTAGTGAAAGTAAGGAAATAGAAATGATTGGTCATCTTCACGGTGACATTTTTAACCAAGATAAATTTTTAATTAATGGTGTTGAAATGAGTGTTAAATTGGTTCGATCAAGAGAGAGTTTTAATTTAATTGTTGGGTCGAACGATGTAAAGTTTAAAGTTTGCATTACGGACGCAACTCTTATTGTGCGACGAGCACGAATTAATCCAAGTGTATTACTCGCACATCAAAAAGTTTTAGCTTCTACCACTGCTAAATATCCTATTACTCGAGCTGAAGTAAAAGTTTTAACAATTCCTTCGGGTGTTCAAGGAAAAACTCTTGATAATATATTTTTAGGACAGGTACCGAAAAGATGTATAATTGGATTTGTGAACAATTCTGCATTTAATGGTTCCCTTACTAAAAATCCATTTAACTTTGAAAACTATGGTATTAATTCTTTCAGCTTATATATTGATGGTCAACAAATACCTTCAAAAGCTTTGCAACCATCTTTTAATAATAGCATATTTACATCAGCATATCATACTCTATTCTCGGGAACTGGTATTCACTTTCTTAATGAAGGAAATGGAATCTCTTGTGAACAGTATGGCAAAGGTTACTGTCTATTAGCATTTGACTTAACTCCTGATTTATCAGCTAACTCATCAACTCATTGGAATCTCATAAAGCATGGTAGTGTAAGAATAGAAGTACGATTTGAATCCTCATTAATACAAACAATTAACTGTATAGTTTATGCTGAGTTTGATAATATTATTGAGATAGATAAAAACAGAAATGTTACTGTAGACTATAGTAGTTAAGGTTATAATATGTGTTGTGTGTTAGATTTTATGTGTTATGTGTAATGCATTTTGTGTGTATGTAACTATGTGAAACGTTATAAAATTAAATAAAACAAATTGTATGCAATATATTTTTTTTTATTTCTTTATAAATCTTCTATTTAATCTAATACAAAACACTGTTCGAGTTGAAATTTTACATAAGCACACTGACTAAACCACTGAACAAGCTGCTGCCAAGGATCATCATCATCTTCCCAATCTTTTAAACCACCACCACAATGGAAACACTTGGTCCCGTCTGCATGGCCAGTATAAAAGAAACCAGCTTCTGCAAGATCTTCAGGTTTCTGTCGCATAACTAGAGGCCAGTTTTCGAAACTAAGCAAACGGCTAGATTTTGAACTGAAGAATGGATATTCAGCTCTTGAGTACTGCATACTCTTCTCGATTTCTTCTCCACTCAGTGTTGTAGTTTTGTTATTCAATGATGTGTTTTGTACACGTATGCCACACTCATCTCTTCCTTCCGCTCTTGTCTTCCTGTAATTGAAGTAAACAGAATCACATTCACTAATGATCAGCTAATGACTGTCATTGTTAAAAAAGTATTTTTTAACTTTTTCACTTTCTGCTATTGTCTTTGTTATATTGTATACGAGGGCATTTGTGTTGTCGTAGATGCTATCCTTATTAGTCTTTACGTAATATTTAATTCTAGTGGAAGCATGTTTCCAATGATCAGTAGTTGGAATCTTGGATAGCTTCTTCATATCGTACATTTCAATTTTGATGAGATGCGTCGCTTGGTCTCCGTCGTCAGGATTAGTAGAAATGTATGATACACCATCTCTAGCGGCTCGTGCTACGGTTGATGATAACAGCTTCCTCTTTTTTATTTTTGATTCAGCTTCAAAAAAATGATCAATCGATTGCGATTTTCTTTTTCCACCATCGCATGTGTTATTATTAATGACGAGGTTATCACTCTCTTCTTGAGGGGAGAGTGGCGAGTAGTAATACTGTTTATAGGTATCTTCATCGAAGCTCAATGATTTCTGCAACAACACAGTTATCATGTTAATATCAATTTGTTAACACTTAATCATAAAAGTTAAAAAAGTTAAAGTTACAGCCTATTAAAGTCCACTGCTGAACATAGGCCTCCTTTCATTTCTGAGAGGGTTTTAGAGCAAGGAAATGTCCGCCGCGCTCCCTCAATGTGTGTTGGCGAACTTCACATGCCTTCGAAATTTTCTCAGACATGCAGGTTTCCTCACGATGTTTTCCTTCACCACCAAGCACGTGGTAATAAGCACTTAAAATTGCTATTAACAATTTAATTGGTGCTGGCGGGGATCGAACCCGGGTCGCGTACTGTGAAATTTACAGCTAGCGCTAACCATCTGAGTTACCACGGCTTAATCATATACATACACAATATTTAAATAAAATAATACACACACACATGAAAATAACAGAAAAAAAGTAATTTAGTCAATAGAATAAACACTTACATCCATAGCCTTTGGTGTATTGAAGTAACACAAATGTACTATTGATAGATCCACTGTAGCCAAACGACCGTACACTAACTCGATGACTGCGTTTGTTGGTCTTATATACCACCAGTACGTAAAAATTCTAATCTAAAGTATTTCCGTAATGAGTTGATAATTACTTTATGCGTCAACCAGTTTATCTCACATTTCCGTTGCCTATCTCAACATTTCTTCGTATTGTGTTTTGTTTGGTGATCAATGACTCAAGTACGATTTGTATAACACAAAAATGCAATTTAATATTTAGAAACATATCAGTTTATCTCACATTTCCGTTGCCTATCTCAACATTTCTTCGTATTGTGTTTTGTTTGGTGATCAATGACTCAAGTACGATTTGTATATCACAAAAATGCAATTTAATATGTAGAAATCACTATAATTGACCATTCCTATGTTATTCATTGAGTAGCTAGGTACTGTAATAATCTACTAATAGCAGTAATATCATGGATACACTAGATGTACAACAACATCTGAAAAAGATTCACCCCAGTCTAGAAAATAATGTTTATGCAGCTAATAGACTGCCTATGTATACCCACGTACCAACGTATATAATATGTAATTTGGATACAGATGATAAACCAGGGTCACATTGGGTAGCTTTATATATCGATACGAATGACGTCGGTCAATATTTTGATTCATATGAACGATCACCTGTACGATATCATCTAGAGTTTTTAAAAAGGAATTGTAAAAGATGGAACTGGAATGTTGATAGGATTCAGAATGAGTGGACTTCAGTTTGTGGCGAATATTGCTTAATGTATTTACTATATAAGTTTCAAGGATGTTCAATACATAGTTTTACGAGTATATTTACAAGGAACACATTGTACAACGATATTTTAGTGGATGAGATGTTTCGCTCCTATTTTATAGATAATAATTAATAAGATTTTGTATTTTATAAATAAAAATTGTAACAAAATTATGTAATGTGTTTTATTGATGATTCAGATTAGCGTTGTATAAACAAAGAATTATAATAAACAATAGCACTGATATAGTCGACGCACACGCTGCAATGAAGGTGATTAAGGAACAATAGAACAATAGAAATAGGAACAACAATGGGACGCTAATGACGGTGGAGGCCCTTACCGGATATCAATTAGATATTAGCTAATTGATATACACATCTCCGGAACCGTGCATTCTACACAAAAATGGACCGCGGATTCGTGATCAGAGCATGCCAAAACGTTTTTTTTTTTTTTTTAGGATCGGGCGTCGACGAACGTCGTTGAACCACGTCTGACTCAGGTGGTCTAGAAGTGGTACAACTACACTACTCAGGTAAGATAACACAAAGTTCTATCATAACATTTATCACTTATTCACCATTTTGTCACCATTTTTTGTTAAAAATTATCACATAAGAATGATTTTCACATTGACATTGAGCACTAAATATGTTAAGAGTAAATAGTTAAAACAGACACTAATCTATTTTATATTTAGCTGAGAACTTGCAGCTGATATAGTACGTCTTATTACTTAAGTACCCTCTCTTTATATGACTTCTATACGAATGGGCAGGCTTTCTTCACACTGTTTGGCTTTCTTCACGCTTTCTTTTATTCTAGGGTTGTGATGACAAACATCAGTCAGCTTTTCTATTAACCTGACTTCGGTCGCTATCATTTCTTTAGGTATTTCAGCCTTGGTAGTCTCCAATAAATTTTCTATGGGGTTCATATCAGGAGAATTGCGAGACCAAAATTAAACTGGAATGTTGTAGGCTGCCAAAAACTTAGTAATGCTTCTTTCATTATGACATGGCGCTAGATCATGAAAGAACATGAATTCCTCACCATCAGGGACCCTTTCTCCAAATGCCAGTAACAGGCAAGTTCCTAAATAAAACTTACCTGCACTCTTCTTGTTTCATGGTAATGAACAATGTAAAGACATCCAAACCTTTTTGCCCTTATAAAAGACCACACCATTATTTTAACAGGGTGCTTAACCCTCAGCACGATGCAGTTGGGGAGCTACTTTTCACCTGCGCATCGCCTGCCGAAGCTGCTCTTATCGGCTAGAATCATATGATATACAAGTTTGCATCCGTTGTTGTAACCGTTACAGCCTATTAAAGTCCAGTGCTGAACATTGCCCTCACATATATATTACCGGATAGGAGGGATATTTGCCATAGTTGCCACGCTTGGAAAGCGGGTTGGCAAGTTCTTTATTTTTGGAACGAAGTATCGGACTTTATCGGACGGTACGGGTTTGACGGATGGGAGCTAGGCGAGAAAAAGTGTAAGATTTTTTCGTCGCTACCCCTTGTGCCATAGACGGCCTTGGCGGCGAAATAAGGAAGTGAGATGAAATAATATCCATCTCCCTCGCACTTTTTCTTTTTTTTATAGAACAGGGGGCAAACGAGCATGCGGCTCACCTGATGGTAAGTGACTACCGCCGCCCATGAACAACCGCAACACCAGGGGAATTGCAGATGCCTTGCCGGCCTTTTAGAAAGGTGTAAGCTCTTTTCTTGAAGGTTCCTAAGTCGTATCGGTCCGGAAAATTCGCTGGTGGTAATTGATTCCACAAGGAAGTTGTGCGAGGGAGAAAACTTCTTCTAAATCGCACAGTGGTGGACCGCCAATCATCCAGATGGTATGGATGGTAACGCGAGTTTTGTCGCGATGTGCGATGGTGAAATTGAGCGGCTGGAATTAGTCCGAACAATTCCTCAGAGCACTCCACGTGATAGATGCGATAAAATACGCAAAGAGATGCAACATCTCTACGCAGTGCCAGTGTATCGAGCCGATCAGAAAGAACTCGGTCGTCGACGGTTCGAACCGGTCTGCGCTGGATGCGGTCAAGTGGAAGGAGCTGGCACTGGGGTGCCCCGGCCCAGAGATGAGAACAGTATTCCATGTGGGGCCGAACTTGCGCTTTGTAAAGTTGCAAGCGATGTGCCGGCATGAAGTACTGTTTCGCTCTGCTAAGCACGCCAAGCTTTTTAGAGGCCAATTTGGCCTTCCCTTCCAAGTGACCACGAAACTGCACACTATTCGATATGTCGACGCCAAGGATTCCGATACTAGCTGAGGCAGCAAGGGGAGTGCCTTGAAACTGAGGAGATACGACAAAGGGGTTCTTTTTAGCGGTAAACGCGTAAACTTGTGTCTTCTGGGGATTGAACTGGACTAGATTTAGTCAGCCTCAATCCGAGACTTTGTTAAGCAAAGACTCGACTTCAGACACAAGTTTGTCCCGGTACTCAGCGACGTTTTCCCGAGAAATATTGGCACGGCCGGTATATAAGGCATCACCAGTGCTGTCGTCTGCATAGCAATGAATGCTACCCGTTAGCAACATATCATTGATATGCAGGAGAAACAGCGTTGGTGATAGCACGCAGCCTTGTGGAACACCAGCATTGATAGGCTTAAAATCAGAGCATGCACCGTCTACTACGACCTTGATGCT